GACTACTACTACTACTCTATACTTACTAAACTACTACTACTACTACGACTACTACGACTACTACGACCTAACTACGACTACTACTACTACTACTACTACTACTACTACTACTACTACTACTTCTACTACTACTACTACTACTACTACTACTACTACTACTACTACTACTACTACTACTATTCGTATGCTTCCTGCTCGTATTATTTACGACGCCGGTCCTCCTCGGGCCCCTCTCCCCAGGAGGAGGAGTCCAAGGGGGGGGAGGGGAGTCAGATACGCATCCGTCCCTGAGGGTCCTCATCCCCCTCCCCTCCCCTCTCCCACGCCAGTCCTCCTCCAGTCCTCCTCCCTGGGGGGGGGGGGGCAGGGGGGAGTCCTTCTCTTCCTCCTTCTCAGCCTCCTTCTCCTTCTCCTCCTCCTCCTCCACCGTATCTCCGCCCCCTCCTCCCCCTCCTCCTCCTCCTCCTCCTCCTCCTCCTCCTCCTCCTCCGCCTTCCCGGCTCGTGGGCAAAGCACGTGTCCGTAGCCGCGGCCTCGCGGGCTGGGGTCGGGGCCGCGACCCCGCGGATGCGGGGCGTGGTTTCGCAGATGCCCCGCGCGGATGCGTATCCGTGCGACCGCGTATCCGCGGGATCACGCCCAGGAATCCAGACTGCGAGGTCGCATATCTGGATATGCTCGCCGCTCGTGGCCAGTGATGGACTCAGAGTTTCATTCCTGTCTGACCCCTCCCCAACCTCTGTTGCTGTCGAGTTGAGCCAGCGTTCTGTAAATATGCCGCGTCTGCTGTACCTTGCTGTCCTTCTCCGCGCCCTCGAGCCCCCGACTGCTGTGGAGGCTGCGGCCCCCAATCTGTGGCAACTTGGGTGCTCGCGGGCATGTTGACCAGCCGTAACTGGGGGAGCTGTGGTCCTTACCCCCCTGGGGGAACCCATCGCATCGACGATCTCTCGAGAGGGGTGTCGAAATCGATGGGTCCCCCAGGGGGGTAAGGATCACAGCTCCCCCAGTTGTGGCTGGCCTGTGCTGTGTGGCAGGACAGGTGCTCCGAAGACACCCTGACACACGGAGTCGTAGACTCCGCGCGAGCTCCGCCTCGGGCGAGGCGGCCGAGGGCCTCGGCGGCGGCCCGGCACCTTGGCGGCCCACTTGACGGCGCTCCCGAACCTGCGCAATGGCACGGCTGGGGAGCGCAGGACGAGCTGCCCTTCCTCCGCACCTTGGCGAACGGACCTGCCCTGCACCGCGCGCGAGCACACCTGCTCCGCGAGGCCTGGTGCGCCGGCTGCGACCGCCGGGTCCTGGGGCACCTGGCAGGGCGCGGTGGGGCAGCCCCGGGCCGCGGCGGCGCGCGAGCAGGCCTGCCTCCCCCTCGCGTGACGGGGGGCTGGGCATGCACACGCCTCGGGGAGCGGCGCCTGCCCGCCTTCGTGGGCTCCTGGCTGGCCTGCCTGGCCGAGGTGCGCCGCGAGCTCGGACTGCCGAGCCTTGACGGCGGTGACAGAGGCGGGGGGGCGCTCAGCGGGCGCGGGCGCCGAGGCCTGGCTGCGCGCGGCAACGGGGCGCGAGGAGGAAGCGCAGCGGCGCCTCGCGAGGCTGGCGCAGGAGCGGCGACGCGCTCTCCTGCTCGCCTCCCTGCCGCCGCCGGCCAGCGGGAAAGGCGCCGGGAGCTGGCGACTCCCGCCCACGCGGAGCCGGACCACGTCCTCGCAGATGAGCACTTCCGCCCGGCGCTGGCCTTGCGGCTCCGCTTGCCCCTGCCGCCGGAGGCCAGCGCAACTTGCCTCCAGCGCCGCCCCGACGGGTCCTGCTGCGGGGCCGACCTGCGCGCAGACCCTGGGCATCCTCTGGGTTGCCCAATCGGGGGCGGCACGGTGTTAAAGCACGACGGCGTGCGGGACTGGCTCGCGCGCTGGCTGGCGGCGCGGGGCGCCGCGGGCGTGAGGACGGAGCAATTCGTCCCCGCTTGGGACAGGACGCGTCCGATCCCGCGGGGGGCAATCACATTAGCATTAGAGGGGTGCGGGGGGGGGCCCTGGAACATACATGGTCCAGGGTTGACCCCCCAAAGCATATGGGATCGAGCCCCTCCCCCTCTCCGCTGGATGGGTACGCCCGTGAGCCTCGTGAAGGCTTTGCGAATGGGATCGCTCCCCCCCATGTGGTCGTGGCCCTTTGGCCCCCCCTGTGGTCGTGGCCCTGTTGGCGTAGTGTGGTGGAGGGTGCTTGTGCACCCCCGCCGCTCTACCAGTGGGTGTGCGGTGGTTCGTCGTCGTCGTCGTCGTCGTCGTCGTCGTCGTCGTCGTCGTGCGTCGTCGTCGTCGTCGTCGTCGTCGTCGTCGTTTCGTCGTCGTCGTGCGTCGTGCGGCGGCGGCGTCGTCATCATCGTCGTCGTTTCGTCGTCGTCGTCGTCGTCGTCGTCGTCGTCGTCGTCGTCGTGCGGCAGCGGCGGCTGCGGCGGCGGCGTCGGCGTCGGCGTCGTCGTCGTCAGCGTCGTCAGCGTCAACGTCGTCACCGTCGTCGTCGTCGTCGTCGTCGTCGTCATCGTGGTCGTCGTCGTCGGCGTCGTCGCCCCCAAATCACCATCTCATCTGGTCGGGGGAGGCCCGTGGTTGGATCCCTGGGACCTATCCCATTTGGGGTGGGCTGTGAACCGTCGGCCCGGGATCATATAGAGCCAGTGAACACAATGCAATTCAGACAGCCGTCAAGCAAACCCAGAACGCGACT